TTTGGGCTCCCACTGTGCCTTGTGCAGGTCTTGCCGCAGCATCGGCCCACTATGATGCCCCCAGGGAGCAGCGAATCGTGCACTGGCAGCGGTCATCACCTTCACATCCCCTACTTCAAGGATCATGGGACTTAGTAACAAGGGTTACAGTTAGGGTAACTGTACTTCTATCTACTTATAACCCCAATTCTGGTACTTATATCCTTACTTGCTAAGCCGCATGATCCTCCAAGTAGGGCTCCAGTTACCCGAATAGTAAGTTACTGGGGTACATAACCTATGGCTAGTATCCAACTATTTAGGTAACTGGAGCCCTAAGGATCTATTATGGGGCTTCGCCCTAGCATCGCGGCTGCTTGCATAATGGGCCAACTGACGGTAGTACATGGTATAGATATGTACTGAGCCAAACAATGGTAGTATAGGGAAACATGCAGCCCACCTTGCAAGTAAAAGGTCATGCACCTTCCCTGAACCCTCACTTGGGGGCTGCTAGTCCCTGTTCGTAAGTATGCAGCAGATTGGGTACAACGGAGCGTGCGGAAAGCTGCTTTATCACAAATACCTTCTTGCAAGGGGGTTGAGGGGTGTTTGCATCACCCTAAAACACGATGAAGATCCCACTAAACAGGTCTCCTTAAGGGCCTCTTACTTCGCGAAACTCAGACTTTGGAAGACTTGCACCAGGCCTAGAAAGCTGATGTCTTCGAAAAAGGGGGCTTTGGTTCGGCCTCGGTGTTTAGACCCTACACCCTAAAACCCTAAACCGTGTGGCATTGGGTCTCTGCCCTGGGCTGTCGAAGCCCTATATATATATATATATATATCATTGGGGATCCGATCCGCCCAAGCGGTCCGAAAAGACCCTGAGATTTGTGAGCCCCCCTTCAATTGAGTTCCCAAACTTTCACAGTAAGTCTACTTCATAAGGGTTTGGGTTTGGACCAATAAACTGAACCTCTAAAATCGAAAAATAAAAGCACTTAGTCCCCACAACAACGAAGCACACCATGCTTTAGCACCTCGGTGATCCACTTTCGGGTCTTGGAGAGCACCTGCCACGAAAGGCCAAACAAAGAATCATCCTTCAAGGCCTGCCTACTTGTGTGGGTGGTTGTCAAAATTAGGGTCCCTTTTTGGGTACCCTAAATAATAGGTTCCGTATTATAAGAGTTAGCCAAAACAGGACCCTAATTTTGACAACCACCCGTGTGTAGACCTAGGTTTGAGGAGTTTTTATGTGAAGTTGAAGGGTTGGTGTGTAGCGTGCGAAGACAGACCAAAACCCTAAACCCCCACTGCAAACCGTAGATCGTGAACCCTAACCCTAAACCAGAGGCTCCTCATATACTACCACTATGGTATTCGGTCCCGAAAAGCCATCCTTATTATGGTTTTAGGGACCTGATTCCATAATCGTAGTATATGAGGAGCCTCTGGGTAAACCCTGAGCTACCATTATGGTATTCGGCTCCCCAAAAGCCATCCTAATTCCATAATCGTAGTATATGAGGAGGCTGCAGGTAAACCCTGAGCACTAAACCCCACAGTTGCGGTGGAGATCGCAGGTTCCCGGACTCGGGTGGGCAGAGAGTCATACACTACCTGGAGGATCAACAGTAGGGGTCCTAAAAGGCTAAGGAAGAGAGTCCTCAATGGGATCTAGAAGGGTTCTATAAGGGAGGTTGCTGGGGGGGCTTAGTGGGTATGGGTTTAAGTACATTAATTGGGGGCTCTAGGTAATACAAGGTATAGTTCCTTTTTTGTCTAACCCTGGCTACTAAGTCCCATGACCCTTGAAGTACCCTGAAACCCGAAAACCTAGAAACCCCACTTTTTACACCCTAAGTTAGATCGTCTGGAAGCCTCGATGTCGCGCGGTGCGGAGCATGCAGCGCACTTGCCGCAATGTAGAAAAGTCACCCCGGTAGCGACCCTGAGATGGACTTGATTTATGGGCTTCGGAAAATTTGATACGGGATTTGAGCGCCTTCGTGGGATTTGTTGAGTTTGTTGGGTTCGAAGTTGTGAAAGGGTTTATCAACGCTACTATAAGGCTGCTTTGCCGCTTTGAAAGGTTCATAAGGTCTGTATACAGTATAAAGCCTGAGATGACGAATAGTAGACGTGTGCATTGTTGCGTTATTCCTATTTTTCGTTTCGTCGACAAAGGGCACCTATCCCAAAACCTAAACCCTTTCACGCGGCTTTTTGGGCTTTAGGGACCCAGCGACGAAAGAGTAGGAAACTTGCTTAACTTCGGATTGCTGCAAAGGTTTTTTTATAGGTGCTTTAAAAGGTGGCTTATTGGCTTTTTATCGGAGGTGTGACAAGCAGCTCCTTGAGACCTGCTTCTGTAAGTTGCAGGCTTGCTACAACTATGGAAGTAGGCGCCCGATTCATTGGAGAGACGGTGGATTATGGATGATGGTTCTTCAAGCCCCAGTTCGAGGTTAAGGGCCCCGGTGCTGAGGCGCCGGGAATCAAGACACTCTTGAAGCTGCACTGGATCGTGACATTGTGGCAAAGGCCTTCAAGTTGGAATGTTGTCGACCACCGAGGAGACATTCCATGACCCTTCACCCCAAAGCCGAAAGTGTAAATCTGACACAAACCTGCAGAATCTAAACCCCCTACACAAAACCGCAAAGCCAAACCCCACTGCTCCAGTTACTTAAGTAGTAGCTTACTAGCCATGGAAATTATATTGCCCAGTAGACCATTATTCGGGTAACTGGAGCCCGCGGGTATTAAACCCCATATACCTTAATGGATCCCCTATAGGAACCGTTACGATTCCTGAAAATCCCAATTATATAATGAGGACCCCCAGGGAAAAGGCATTGCTGACAAGCGTCGCGACTTTGGCGGCCTCAGTTTCCAAAGTGTTGATCTGGCCACCCTGGCCCTGGGTGCACACAAAGTCCTCAGAAGCAGCCACCGGGATTTCTGAGAGTTCTTTCATGTTGTGTGGCTTTAGCTGTATATATATATATATGTATACACACTATACTTCTATGTATGTATATATATATATGTATATATATATATATATATATACAAACATAACATATAATTTTATGTGTATATATATATATATATAAGATTTATAAGATATATATATATATATATGGGTAGGTAGTCATTCCCCCCCCCTGCATTTCTGCAACTTTGCTTTTATATTCATGGATTCTGTTACCTGGTTTCGAAACTAGTGTCTGTTTCGAAACATATCCGTAGGAGGCCCCAACCCGACCCATTAACCCATTAACCCAATCATTTGCCCAACCCATTAACCCATTAACCCAATCATTTGCCCAACCCATTAACCCATTAACCCAATCATTCTGGCCAAATGGATTTGCCATTAACCCATTAACCCATTAACCCATTAACCCAATCATTTGCCCAACCCATTAACCCATTAACCCAATCATTCTGGCCAAATGGATTTGCCTTAACCCATTAACCCATTAACCCATTAACCCATTAACCCATTAACCCAATCATTTGCCCAACCCATTAACCCATTAACCCAATCATTCTGGCCAAATGGATTTGCCTTAACCCATTAACCCATTAACCCATTAACCCATTAACCCAATGATTTGCCCAAGTGGGACTAGACTCTACTCCAAAGTTCATTTGGCCAGATTGATTGGGTTAATGGGTTAATGGGTTAATGGGTTAATGGGTTAATGGGTTAATGGGTTAATGGGTTGGGGCATTTTCATTTGGCCAGATTTAATGGGTTAATGGGTTAATGGGTTAATGGGTTAATGGGTTGGGGCAATTTCATTTGGCCAGATTGATTGGGTTAATGGGTTAATGGGTTAATGGGTGAATGGGTTAAGGCAATTCCATTTGGCCAGAATGATTGGGTTAATGGGTTAATGGGTTAATGGGTTAATGGGCTAATGGGTTAATGGTTTAATGGGTTAATGGGTTATGGCAATTTCATTTGGCCAGAATGATTGAGGTGTCAGCTCGGTTGTGTCTTCACTCCTGCACGCGGGGTTTGCGCTTGTTTGTGGGTTTGGTATGGTTGGGTTCATGGATTAATGGGTTGGGGCCTCCTAAGTCCTAGGGGCATTCGGCTAGATGATTGGGTTAATGGGTTAACGGGTTGTATCTTAACGGCGGGCGTGTGTTTCGAAACATGCCGCTGGTTTCGAAACAGACGCCCGTTTGAAAACCGCTGCAGGTCACTCGTCCGGTACCAGATCTTCCGGGCAGTGGGGTTTTGGAAGTGGTTTGTTTGTAGTTGTTTGTTGTAGTGTCTAGGTTTAGGTTGGTTGTGCCTTGGATGCATCTGGTCACTTTCCTGCGATGTCCTTATGTTGTTTCTTAACTTGACGTACTATCGGCTTTGAAACACAGTAGTTGATGCATCACCGTATTTGCACGACTACGCGACGACCGAAATCAATTATTCCAGTCACTATTCACTACTCAGCGTAACCTTGGTCCTGAAACACAACATGCTCCATCGTATTCGCACGACAACACGACGACTGAAGGACAGTAGTCACCCTCATATTCGCATGACGACGGGACGACAAAGACACGATATCCACCAGCATATTCGCACGAATACATATCAACTGACATGTTTCGAGTTCTGTGTGGTGCTGCCGGATTGGCGACTCAACAACAGTGCTTATCGAAACATGTTGGCTTTAGAATCCCAGCACTTCGTAGTATCAGCGTGCCCCCCATCCCTCCCAACCGTGGCTGCAAGAGCCATGTCGTTTTCGGTGAAGGGCACTGCTACCTTGCAGAACGGCAAGGTTTCTTTGGTTCTTCAACCTGATGCCCCTGACTCAACCGCTTCGGCCTCGGGATCGGACCATGCTCAGTTTGACGTTCGCGCGGCCATGATGCAAAAGATCGCTGACGGCCTCATGCCCGTACACCCAAGTCGTTCACCACTCTCAGCTCGAACTTTGCTCGTCCACATTTGCCACGCCCAAGAGAAGCAGCAGTTTACCAAGAAAGGCATGTACGGTGAGTGGAACGTCCATGCCGAAGCCGCCTTGGCGGCGGCACTTTTGAAACCCAAACGCCTAGCCCTCACCGCTTCGTCGTCTTCAGCACCGGCACCCTTGGCGATCGAGAATTGCAACATTCCGGTTTCAAAAAAAGAGTCGTCCCCCAAGAATACCAAGAAGGCTGAAGCATCATCGTCCTCGTCATCTTCTACCTCGTCCGGGGAGGAGGCCGAAGATGAGCAAGAGGAGAGCGAGGATGAGCAGGAGGAGGCCGATGATGTGCAACAGGAACCCGCCATGCCCGAATACTACCAGTGGACTGATGATTGGCACGATGTCTACGCTCAGCTGTTGCACATCTACGAAAGTTCCGAGCTTAATACCAAGCGGCGTAGGATCATGGACACGCTTTTGGCTGACCTTCGCAAAGCGAAGGGGCACTTTGATGCAGCCGTATAGGCCGTTGTGCACACGAACCCGCGTTCAGGCAAATGTGAGAGCTCTGCATTGCAAGATGTTGCAAGTTCGTCATGTGCAGTTTGTTTCGTATCGGTTGCTCTCTATGCACACGGCGGTGTTTCGAAACAGGGCCTCGGTTTCGAACCACGTGTGGCTGTACACTCGTGATATCACACATGCGTCTTGTCAGAAACATTGCAAAACGCATTCAACGCAGCTTGATTCTCTGAGGGCGACACAGCGCAGTAGTTAGCCAGAGCCAAACATCATCAACTCCGGAGTTTGCTGCTGGGACTCATGATATGAGTTTGCGTCTTGTTGTGTTACATGTTGTGTTCTCTCTTACCCTTTTTTGCATCTTGATGCCACAACAAGGAAAACCAAATGACGACTGCCTACAAGAAAGCATTGGACGAAGTCAAGAACCATGTAATGACTGAACTGAAGACCCCCATCGTGATCACCAATGAGACTGTTTCCGGATCCGTGAACGACTTGCCACTCAAGGAGCACTTCCATCAGTACAAGGCCAAGACGTTGGTGGATATCATCGAGAATGTCGCTCTGCAAGATGTGCCATGGGAGTCGATTGCGACGTGTCTTGCCAATGAACGATATACTGAACTCCCACCTCCGTTTCGCACCGACCGTGTTGCAGACACTGAGTTCGTACTCCAGATTGGGGTTATCAAGAATTCCACCGGCTCCTTCGGCACTGTGATCAAGCACTTCATCTTTGCAGACAAGACTACTTCGTTACGCCACATAGAGGAAATTGTACATGGCACTGGGTACCTCATCGACTACTCACCCAACTTTCGAAGTGGACCTTGTGCATTCCAAATTCTTCTGCAAAGAATGTCTCACTGGATGGTGTCGTTTCGTCGGCTAGAGCAGAAGCAGCCCAGGCCGGTCAAAGAGGATTGTGGTGATCTCCAAGCCGGATTTGACTACATTCGAGAGTTCGGCCCGAAATCCAACATGGGAAATGGCCAGACTGAATGGGCTGAAATTGAGACCCGCAGACTTGGAGGACCGCTGCATGGTTGGAGTGCGGGGTTAGTCAAGGAATGCTTGCGAAACCATTCAGCTTCGAATGTTTACGCTCGTCCAGTCACCAACTTCTTCTTGACACTCCACGACGTCGCAGGTTGGTTTTTCGATGACGTGTTGGTTGAGATCCTGGGTGACCTCAAAAGCCACACTTTGGTGATGATGGGGATGGCCGAAACAGGGAAAACACCGGTGGCTCAAGCCATCGCAATGGCGATCTCAGAATACCATATACTGGCTGGTGGGAAAGAGCAGGAACTGCGGCCGTCCTTTCGCCTCGTTGCTTCCCTGGACCAGCTGCGAGGTGAATCCGGCATCAAGGAACGTCCGGATATCCTTGATGACCCGGATACCAGCGTCATGTCCGTGACGAAGCTGAAAGCTTTCCTTGACAGCACTCTTACCGAGACACACACCGTGGAACGGTGGACCACTTCAAAATTCGAGTCTTGGCTTTGTTCGGCATACTTGTCGGGCTTCAACACTGCAGGGGTACATCGCCTTGCGCTAAACTTGTACACACGGTGATTTGCTGAGGTACGCAATCAGCTCCGAGTGATTTGCGACAATCGAGTGGATGATGATGCCGAGCCAGACTTACCGGAGTCCGAAGGCTTCATTAAGTTCGAGACCTTTATGGACATCATCTCACCAGCCTTCCCCGACAAGTGTTCAAAGCAGGACCGTATGGCCTGCCTCAAACGGGCGCATTGGATCGTAAACATGAAGAAGGCTCTCTATCTTCGACCTGCCGGTACCAAGACAGTTCCTGTCAAGCGCATCCCCTACTTGCACGGCCAGACTGACTTCTTGAACCAAGAGGGCAAGGATATCTTACAGGCCATGCGCGATGGCATTGAGACACCACCAAAGAATTGGGTCCAAAAGAGACAATGGACTCACGATGTCCTGAGCATGATCATCGAGAAGAAAGAGCGACCACGTCGCACTGCCACGATTTTGATTCCCGGGTCAGGCGGTAACGGTCCCACTTCTCGTGACTCAAAGCCACAAGTTCCATTCTCAGGCCGCATTTGTCCAGACTTCTTGCCGACCGTGGACACCGCCGCTTCTATGGAGGACAGGCGCGAGGCTTCCTCTTCTTTGCCAACCGCCGCTAACATTGCCTTAAAGACGGAGGTTGAAGAGAAAGCTTTCTTCCCGCTCATGGTGGCGTCCCACGCAGATGACGTCATTGACTTGGCCACGCCAACACCTCCTCGCTGTAAGCGTCCTCGGCAAGATGATGCCTTTCCCGACGTGGGCGAGGATCCTGAAAACTGAGGTGCCTCCTTCTGCGAATGAAGTCGCGTCGGAAGAACCTAGGTGCTTGAATGTAGCTACAACATTGGTTGACTCTGTAGAAAGGTACACTGCACAGAGAATGTTGGCCTCTGACAAGGCACTCAAGTTTTGTAGTTTGAGTGCCCACTGCCACCTGGATAGAGTGTCACATGACATGCCCATTGCCGCCAACTCCCAGAGGACCGCCGATTGAAAAAAATCAAGCGGGATTGAAAATTCTCAGCGTTTTGATTGTGTCGATCAAATTCAATAGAAAACGATCTTTTTCAATAGAAATTTAAATCCTCAAAATCAATAGAACTGCGACATAAAAATCAATAGAAACCTCCACATCAAAATCAATAGAAAATCTCCATAAAATCAATAGAAATTTTCCATAAAATCAATAGAAATTTTCCATAAAATCAATAGAAATTTTCCATAAAATCAATAGAAATTTTCCATAAAATCAATAGAAATGTTATCTCAAATCAAACGAGAAACACTTCTGACATCAATAGATTTCAGCGCTATCTCTGCCTCCACCACTATATATAATACCTCTACCTCGACCTCAACCTGTACCTTTATCCGTATCTCTGCCTGTATATCTCTACCTTTACATCTTTACTTCTTTATCTCTCTATCGCTGTATATCTCTCTATCGCTCTACCGCTCTATCGCTCGATCTACCGCTCTACCGCTCGGTCGCTCTATCTCTCTATCTCTTATATCTCCCTGTCTCTCTATCTCTCCATCTCTACCTGTATTTTTATTTCTATATATCTATCTCTTTCTTTTTTCTCTTTCTCTATCTCTCACTTTCTCTTCCCCACCCTTTCCCAGAAGGCTTCCAGCCTAACACTTCTTTTTCACAGCAGCGGCAGGGAATCTTGGGTGAAGCTTCTTTTGAGCTCTCCTTCGAAACTTGGCCTTGTAAAGGCCTCGGAGCCTAACTTTCAAAAACGGTTCCTGGCTACTTGGACTTGGACGTGGAATTGGACTCAGGCATTCCAGCCTAACACTTCTTTTCCACAGCTGCGGCAGGGAATCTTGGGTGAAGATTCTCTTGAGCTCTTCCTCAAAACTTGGCCGTGGAGGCTTGGAGCTTACCTTTCAAAAAAAAGCTCCGGGCTACTTGGGCTTGGACTTGGTATTGGACACTGGCAGCCCGCATGGCTGCAAGCCGTCCCTGACTCTCGGGTTTTGCTTGATGATCATTTTTTGAATCGGGGACAAAAAATCCCAAACGAGAAGGTGACCCGGCGGAGCTTCCGCTTCAGCTTCCTGTGAGGGGTCGTGGTAAAAGTCAGGCTCCTCTGGCCACTCCTTCATGGCCTGCTCAAAGTCACTCTGAGTGATCGGAGGGTCATACATGCCCAAGACCATCGTTTCCTGGCTCAGGCTCACGTTGTCCGGGCTCTGGTTTGGCCCCTTGGCCATGGTCTCGGCAGCTTGGCAAGCTTCCCAAACGGCTTCCAGACCTCCATCCGAGTTGTCTTCTTCCTGCAGATCTGTTTCGGCGTAAGGGTTTAAAAGCTGGTTATGAGGGTATAGGGGTTCACATCTATCTATCTATATATATATATATATATATATATACAAAATCTATATATCGCACTGAAAGAATCCCGCCTCGAGAGCAAAGCAGGTGGCGGCTGCAGGCCTCTTGGCTGTCGTCTCTGCCGGAGTCTCCAAGGTGGCGTCTGGCCTCTTGACTGTCGTCTCTGCCGAAGTCTCCAAGGTGGCGGCTGGCCTCTTGACTGTCGCCTTTGCAGAAGTCTCCAAGGTGGCGGCTGGCCTCTTGGCTGTCGTCTCTGCAGGAGTCTCCAAGGTGGCGGTTTGGCTCTTGGGAGCTTGGCCACTGGAGGTCGTGGAAGTCGCAGGTCTTTTCTTGACGACCTTGACCTTGACGACGGCCTCCTTGTCTGCGAGCTTGGCAGCTGGCTTCTTCGAGACCGGGGCCTGTCGAGGCACAGCCAAAACTTCAAAAAACAGACTTAAGCTCGACAAGCTCACAGGCAAGTATCTGGCCTGCCGTGCGGCCGGCTTCTTCTGGCTTCCTACTTTTGCCATCTGAAGAGCCTATAAACTGCAGCTATAGACGGCGACACATTTTTAAGCGTCCGGATTATACCACTTGGGAATGTACGTATAGGGCCGTCCGGCCCTTAGCAGATGGCGCAAGCGACTTGTTTTCCATGGGCCGTTTGCAGTCGGCCTGGACCTGGACCGTTTGAGCAGCTTATGGCTCATGGGCCGCTTGCAGTTGGCGTGGACCTGGACCGCTTGCAGCTTGGCTGCTTGGGTCAGCTTGGCTCATCCAGCACTAGCAAGCCCTTTAAAAGCAGATGCCAAAACGTCCTGTACTTGAACAGGATGGTTTCCGGCACCTTGTGAGCTGCAGTGCCTGAAAGGCAAGCATTGGCGATGTGAGACATCAAGCCCATAAAGGATTCGGAACCATACGTCCAAAAAAACCTGGGGGCCAAGTGCTGCGAAACTTCTGGCAAGTGTGCCGTCATGTGAAACTTGGAAACTTGGCTATATCGACACTGCTGGGCATCAAAAGCCAGCTTGGCAAGATGGCCGTAGTGCTTGGTCAAGCACTGGACTTGGTCGGCGAATTTTCGCCTGACGTCCTGGGGCCACTTGAAGTCTTGCCTGTCCAGCAAGTCGTAGATGTCCCGCAGCGACTCAAGGACACGAAGTCGGTGCAGGCTTCGGCGATCATCTTGGGAGCCTGAAATTGCTGTAGAACTTTAAACAAGAATAAGGTCGTGTTCACATTTATAGATATAATGCAGCTTAGACACTGTACCTCCTGGCGAGCTCCACAGCAACAGGCATGAAATGCCTGATTCGCCTGCCCTTCTGGTGCTTGAGGCAAGGGTACTCATTGGCACTGCTGGCAATGTCAGACTTCCATTTCAGGTTCGGCAACCTGGTGCCTGAAGGAATGCCTAGCTCCTGGTAGATTTCCTGGATTTCGGCATTCAGGCAACTCATGTTGGTGTCCCTGGAACCTGGCTTGGAGTCTTCGATGATCTCCCAAAGCAGATTCCCCACCACATGGCAGGACACACCGAGGTCCAGGACGTGGAGGACGTCAAGCTTCAAAGCCTGAGCATTGACGCCTTGGACCTGGAAAAGCGGGTGCTCCAGCCTGGCTTCCAGCTGCCTTGGCCTGAGTGTTGTCCTTCTCCAGCCTGCTTCCTGGCGAAAGTCGTTCCAGCAGTTCTCGCCCTCTTGGGTGCAAGCGCACCAAAGGCAAGGGTTGGCTTGGTTCGGCCTGGGGAACTTGAATTCCTGGTAGAAGAACTCCATGTCCCCTGTGATGCAGTAGATCACTCCTGGCCTGAACCGCCTGGAGGTCGTTGGGCACCTTCCTGAGGCCATGGCTTGGAGGGACTCGCAGAGCTTGGTCCAAAGATCTTCCATGAGCTTGGGCGTGATGCACGACTTGGGAATGCAGGCCAGCAACAATTGGCTGCTTGCCTGGACTGCGAAAGCAAAAATTAGAGACACCAAGACCTAAATGGTGATTTTGCGGTCGTACTGCCGAAAGAATACTAGACAAGCCAAGCGTCAATCGAACGTCGTGACGTTATCGCTCTCATGGAGATCACAAGCAGACTGTCCACCTTGGAGTGGGGAGCTGCGTCGCCGTGCAAAGCGAAAGGGACCAAGGCTTGGGTGTCCTGGAAAACTTGGTCAAAGTAGTCCTGGCTTTGCGACACCCTGGAGTTAGCGCCTTTTTGGCTGTCCCAAAACTTGGCAATGTCCTGGATACCCAGGATGTCATCGTCCATGCCATCCAGGCTTAGCATCCAGTTGTGCGGAAGCATGACTGGAAGCTTGCAGTCTACCTGGATTTTTTGGCCTGTGGCGCTTTTCCCCCATGCCTTGGTCTGCACGACCGTTGGGTCTGGAGCAGCCATGTCCTTGAAGACCCTGGAAAGCAGCTGGTGGTGCGTGTGGTTCGGGTTAACACCATGCGAACCCAAGCTGGCAAGTCCCACAAGGTCGGCCTGGGAGCAGCCTGACTTGACAGCTGCCTGGGACAGCTCCTGGACGACCTTGGCGCTCAGGTCTCCCAAACACCACAGCCTTAAAAGGGCCACCGCAAGTGGAGATTCTGGCTTTATCTCGCGACAGGAGGAAGAGGAAGCTTGGTCCTCCGTCTTCCTTTTCCTCCCTGACATGGCTTCGCCTGGACATCTAAACCTAAACCTGGCTTGGTCCTCGAAGCTTCAAAGCGGGGAATTTGCAACTTGAACACGAGAACAAAGGCAGTTTGCAGCAGTCCCTGGCAGCAAAACGCTTCTTTTTGGCGCTTGAAACTCCAGCTTTAGGTTTCAGTAGGCTCTCTCCCTTGAACTGCCTTTGCTCTTGGAGCCTAAGAGGCTGGAGGGTTCAAAACATCCAGACTGCGTGGCCTGGACTTAAGGCCGTTCACAGCTTGGAAAACCCTGCCTGCCTGGACTTCATGAAAACTATAAGCTAAAATCTCATCAGGAATAGCTGCCGGGTCAAGACTCAAGACTTCTAGCTTTTGCTGGACTCTGCAGGGCCGTGGTACCAAAGACTGTTGCGTGTTACACGTTGCTTGAGCTTGGGCCTCTATGCAGCCATCCTGAAAAAAAAACTGCTCAGGCGTCCTTAAGGGCCTTAGTGAGTTCCACCTTAAGCTTCTTGGAAGCTTGGAGGGTGGTCACCGCGTCAAGCAAAACGGGCTTCATGTCCTCCATCTTGCAAGCCTTCTTGCCAGCCAGGGTCGTGCGGATCCGCTCCAAAGCCTGCAGCTGCTTGGTGAGGGACTTCAAGAAGGTGGCCTTGTCGTCCAAGCCGCTGCCTTGGATCTGGAGCTTCAAGCCCTGCAAGAGACCGTATTCCTTGCCCAGCTCAGTGACGAAGAGCTTGGCCTGGAAATGGTTGGGCGAACAAACAGCTACAGAAACGGTTCGAGCTAAACTTAATTTGAAAAAACAAGCATGAAT